GCAATTCGTCGCCAGCTTTGCGGCCGGCGTGGCATGGGTCAATCCACGAATGTATTCGGGCTGGAGTTGGAGGATTCCTCCCAGGGACGAGAGAAATACAACGCCAGCTAAGGACACGTGTGCACAGCACTCAGTTCTCATGGTAGCAGCAAGCAGTTTCAGCTTTTGGTGAAACATACATTCGGAGTAAAAAGTGTTCACCTATACTTATATACCAGTCTACGTAGTAGTATTGGACTCTTTACGAATTACTAGTATTTACTAACTCCTCTATGAATTAATATTCAATTTCATGGGTTTAATAACCTACACTCTAACGTTAACGTTAAGCAAAAACTAGCGTTAACGTTAAGCAAAAACTAGTACTGTAATGTTAAGCCTCAGAGTGCACAACCGGTGCACCCAGCACACTAGCTGCCGCAACTTGCCGACCATGACATTCCTCACTGCTGAGATCATCAATTGATAAAAGCAAGAATAATTAACGTTATACCGAATATGTTCCATGGCGTACAGCTCATGGATGCTGACTGTGATCGTGAACTCATCGCAGCGTCGTCCGAAGGCGGCTCTCCGCCATCTATTCAGCAATCACACTCCCTGCAACTTCTTCGGCAAACTAGCGACAATTGGAGCAGCGGCTGCCACGTTGCCAGACCGCGACGAGGTTAGTCCATCATGTATGCCACGGCTGCCGAGTCCAACTCGCGTCGATAATGGAAGCCGCAGCAGGTGATACTGAGTCCGCCCATTCTGCCACGTCTACGACTTGAGATTCGGTCCTTTGCTCGAGCGGCCACTGCAGCGTCGATCACTTTGCTCTCGGCGTCGTCAAAGCCAACAAGCTCCTGACCGGATTCGATGACGGCAACCGTAGATGAGTCACTGGTTTCCGTGAAGAACATGATTTATAATGCTTGGCTCAACAACATACCACTGTCGATGGCTGGATATCGCCACTGTCACGTCGGCGGCGTCACAATTCGGGGTCGCCGGTGACCGCCAACGACGATTCTGGCCGTTTGGGCCTATCCACCGACAACACCGTCAGCCCTGGCGGTGCACGAAGTGATGTATCGTCCCAAGCTACGTTACCTGCTCGTGTTGATGATGCTGGATCGTCTGAAAAAGTCAATCCACGCTCGACTTCTCGCTGACATCGAGGCGGATGAACTTCTCAATATCCTGCCGTCCGGCCAACCAGCAAAGTACCTTGGTGTGTTGTTTGGCCATCGCCTACCGGTCGATTTCCAAGTTCAAATCCTCCGTGACAAGTTCCTCGCTGCGTTTCCGATGTGGGGTGGCCGCGCTCGGACATTGCAAGGCCGCAAACTATTGGTGTCTACCATGCTCCTGTCCATGCTATGGCATGTCACAACAGCAGTCCCAATTCCCCAACACATCGTGGACGAAATCCAGTCGATGACCAACAAGTTCATCGTGGGAAGGAAGACCCTCCGAACCGACAAGTTCAGAGCTTTGCTCGATCGGCCACTGCAACACGACAAGGCTATGGGACTTGGTATTCCTCACATCGCATCGATCATTCGGCAGCAGCGCCTTGTTCGACTTCAGCAACTTATGGCGAATCCTAGTGGCGACGGCACTCCATCGTGGCGACCGCTGGTTCATCGTCAGTTTGCTCGTGTCATGGGCCAACTCTACCGCGACTCCTACCCGTTTGACTTTTTGTTCTATTTTCCCAATATGAGCTCCAAGTGGATTGCGCTACGAGAGCTGCATCCATTGTGGCGTGACGTGTGGAAGCAATGGTCTGCCATTCCCATGTCCAAGCGAGTCGAGACACCCCCGACGTTCGACATGGTAATGAACATGCCTTTGTGGTTGACGTCCTATGAGCCAATGCATTACGGCCGTCTCAAGTATTCAGCGTGTCTTGCAAGTGCGCCAAACATTCGACGGTGGTGCCTGCAAGGCGCAAGCAACGGACTGCGAAGTCTGAAGGACTTCCTCAACACGGATGGGTCCTGGCCGACCCAAGCCATGTTTATCTCGCGCATGTCCCAAGGAAACCCAGCAGCTCGAGTACGCCTCAACGCAGCCCGCGGCCGAATGGAGTTCCGACTTCAAGATCCAACCGACGCACTTCGCATCAACGTGCTTGCGCAACTGGCAAAACTCAAGCGCCAGCGCCCGTACAACACACTCTGGCTCAAGTACCCCAACTGCTTCAATTATTGTTTACGTATCTCATATCCACAATACCAGATTGTCCATATTTATGTCAAGGCTACGTACGTCATTGAACAATCAATATACACGCAACTTGGACAACCATCAATTACTGTAGTCATGGACGGCATGATCATCAAACCGAAGGGTGAGATCTCTAAATTATTCTCGTATCCGGACG